TTTTGTCTCACTGTGCTGTAGAGGCCAAATGAAATATCCAAAAAACAAAATCATATCTAGCGATAATAAAATAAAGTATGAATATATTTTCACAAAAAGTAAAAGATGTGTAGCTACCTTTGCTAGCTCCTTCGACATGAGATTGAAATAATTTCATTCTAATTTCTTTCACAAATTTTCTTTCCTACCTTTTCTTGGAATTTGTCCCTCTCGATGACAATGTGATATGGGATCCTTGAAAACGTCACCTTTGAGAAAACAAAAACAATCAAACTTTTTTTTCAAAGAAAGAAAAGAAAAGAAAAGACTTTGCCTTCCTGATGTTCGAAGAAAGACTGGTGACAACCTCTTTGTGCATAGGATTGTTGAAATGGTATAGGTCTCTTTAATGCAGTTTTAAAATAATAATTTATTTTTTCAACTTGCAACAAGAATTAACTGGAAAGCATTAAAATGCAATGAATGTTTTAATGGCATAGCCGCAAAACTCTTAAAGATATTGAAGATCAAAGTTAAATTCGAGTTAATGGATTCCTGATTGCTTGTCGTCGTTAAGGTTATTCCCACATATTAGAAGTCTTTTTCAAACACTTCACATTTTACATTTTACTGTGATAGGCAAATTTTTTCATACAAAAAAATACCAACAAAAAAAAAAAAACAAAAAACAAAAAAAAACAAAACGAAGAACAAATTGCCATTTATGGCAATACTTAGATTTTAAATTTCTATGCTAATAACCACATGAGGCGCGAAATGACAGAACGTTTTGATCCCATTTACTATAGTATAAGGCTCAGATCAAACGTCGAACTATACATGAGCCAAACGCATTTAAAACAATGGAAAACAAGTCGGTCTTCTTTGATGTCATTAGGTTCGGCTGATGCGAAGTTCCACAGGTAAGTCTAAGTTGTTATAACCTTACCATGGTGTATAAGGGAATGATAGTTTTAGGCATCAAGCTGTTTAGAAAACTGTACAATTTCTTCTTTGCCAAGAAGAGAGTCGAGTTGACGGATGAGCGCATCTGAGATAGATGAGATATATCTAAGTTAGAAAATTTTAGTTATCAAAGACGGAGTTAACATTATCGCGTAGCGGAATCGTATTTTACATACACAAGCAAAAAAGAAGCACAAATTGGAAGCAGTAAGACGCACATTAAATTTGCGAAAACTTTAAGCACTTGCTGAGCTTGGTTTACTTAATCTAAAAATGCAATTGACGTACTTCAATATAGTTATACATCGCTAAATCACAAATTGCCTCAGCATCAGGATTTCTTGTTCTGGAATAGTCAGCCAAGGCTGCTCCTGAAAATCGAATAAAAATTTAAAAAAAAAAAAAAAGTTTAGCTTTCGTCCACATATATGAGTTATAAAAAACGTTTTCACTTCTCTTTCAAACAGTTTTAATTTTATTTATTTGTTCGTTTTTAGTTGGCCCCTTTTAAGCGGTTTTTTAACGATGACTGAATGTCTCCGAGTCCAACATAAACAACAAATATATCTGTTTTGTTTGTTTAGTGATTTTTTTTTGTATTCTCGGTGCGATGTCGATTCATCATATTATTAAGGTATAAAATCTAGAATGAACTACGAGGGTTCGAAAAGATCTTGTCCCATCGGATTGTGCGATTTTTTGTTTACAATACAATACACTCAACAAAACTGAGCAACTTAATTGGACTCTACAGAGTACAATTTATGATTTAATTGTACTCCTTTTGTCCAATCAGAATCGAGTAATTTTGTTGAGTGCATTATAAACAAAATAACCAACAGGTATAAAAACTAGGATGAACTAAGAGGGCTCAAAAAGATCTTGTTGCATCGGAGTTGAAGGACACGTTTTACTGTGTAACAAAGCCAGTTACAGTATGGTTCTTAAAACTCACCAATGTTATTGTTGTGTTTCTCCACGAGTCCATCAAGAACGAGGCAGTCCTCAAAACCCTATGAAAAAATATGTAAATATTGAAGAAATAGAAGACGCGCGCGAGTGGTGTGTGCAGTTATACAGCAAGCGGGGATTTCCGGAACACGAGAGAAGTGTTAGGAGTAGCACGTCGCGTAGCGGAGAGAGTCTAGACACTCCACACAGCACATCGAGCGCGTTTTTTATTGAAGAAGAAAAAATAGAAAACGCGCGCGCGAGCTGTGTGCAGTTATACAGCACGAAGGGGTTGGCAGAATATGAGAAAAGTGATATGTAGGAGAAGCACGACGCGAAGCGGAGTTCTTCTAGACACTCCACACAACACACAGCAAGTTTTTTACTTATAAAATACAGAATACAATAGCCGTTATTTTGCAAAGGAATGACGCAACTGAAAGTGCGCGCGCGTGCTGTGTGCTCTCATTAAGCACGCGCTCCCAACCAATCAGAACGCGAGATCTATAACAGTTATTTTATAAATAATAAAAATGATTAAATAAAAAAAAACATGCAGTTCAAATGACCTGCCAATGACTGGATCATGAATTACAGAAATCCCGAGTCCAAATTAGCCCTCATACGACACAAATATCAAAAAAATAATTATTAATTATATCATTTGAAACGGTAAAAGGTTTTGAAATGACGAGCTGGAAGACAATTAAACGAAAATCTTGCTTACGCAGTTCATTCCTTGTCCATAAAATGGCACCATAGCATGAGCAGCATCACCCATGATCACTGCCTTGTCCTTCACGTGGTACGGCTTGCACTACAACGAAAAAGCACGCTTATGTTCAAACAGAAGACCTCAGAGATGGTTGTATCGATTCCAGTGCGTTTAAAAAATGTTTCTAGTAATTTGTAGGGGAGTGGTTGTTGCTTTGCGGATAATTTGAGCTGTTCTCTTCAAGCGGCCATCCACGACGATTAGCTCTACGCGGAAGTATAAGGAGGTGATTTTTGAGCGGGACTAAATTTTAATTTTCCAAGCAGAGGTGATAATGGTAAAGCACACTAATAACACAGACAGGCAGAAATATTAAAAGTATTAGATTCGTACCTTGATGGAGACCATAGGCCCTGTTGGGTTCTTGAAGAACTCTTCTACCAAGTATTCTCTGTGATAAAGAATAAAGCAAATAATTAGGAATAATGCAAAAAAGCATGTTTAGCTTGGCTAACTATTAAAAAAAATGTAGAGCACTCACTCTCCCATCAGATCTTTAAAATCTGGGAATTCTCTTGAAAAAAATTTGATAACCTCTTCCTAGAAAAACAAAGAATATAAGATCATCAAATATTTAACGCTCTGAGCGTGCATAGAAGAAAACAAAATGCTGTCAGTAAAATCAACCCATAGAGCGTGTGCATCTAACAGTACGTCATACAATGGTTGTAACACATAGAGCTTGTGCATCTAACAGTACGTTATGCAATGCCTGTAACACATAGAGCGTGTGCATCTAACTACGTCATACAATGCCTGTAACACATAGAGCGTGTGCATCTAACAGTACGTCATACAATGGCTGTAACACATAGAACGTGTGCATCTAACAGTACGTCATACAATGCCTGTAACACATAGAGCTTGTGCATCTAACAGTACGTCATACAATGCCTGTAACACATAGAGCGTGTGCATCTAACAGTACGTCATACAATGGCTGTAACACATAGAGCGTGCGCATCTAACAGTACGTTATACAATGCCTGTAACACATAGAGCGTGTGCATCTAACAGTACGTCATACAATGGCTACAACACATAGAGCGTGCGCATTCAACAGTACGTCATACAATGGCTACAACACATAGAGCGTGCGCATTCAACNTGGCTACAACACATAGAGCGTGCGCATTCAACAGTACGTCATACAATGGCTACAACACATAGAGCGTGCGCATTCAACAGTACGTCATACAATGGTTACAACACCACACAGAGCGTGCACATCTAACAGTACGTCATACAATGATTATAACACCACACAGAGCGTGCACATCTAACAGTACGTCATACAATGGTTACAACACCACACAGAGCGTGCGCATTCAACAGTACGTCATACAATGATTACAACACCACACAGAGCGTGCGCATTCAACAGTACGTCATACAATGGTTACACCACAAAGTAATGTTGCATTTGAAAGTAAAACTACATAGTATACGTTACCCTATTAGTGAGCATGTCAAACTGTTCAAACGGAAAGAAAAGTGTACAGGTAAATGAACGATCCTGTGAATAAGCAAAGTAAAAATTATCAGTAACATAATTTGGTTCCGCGAACACATGACCCGTTAAAAAAAACCCTGAGGTGAAAAATGATCAAGTTACGAATATTCTAAATGTACAATGTACATGTATAAGTTGTAAAAATGAAACTTTTGAAAAATGAAGTTCTTCATATTCTAGTTCAGGCCGATATCTTCTGGGCCCAGTTTGGTACGAAGAGTGGATAGCGCTATCCGGCAGATAAATCCTTATCCAGTGGATAAGTCAATGCTGTTATCCAATAAATTTATCCAGTGGATAAGATTTATCCGTCAGATAGCATTATTCACCATTCGTACAACCAGGCCATGAAGTTTAAACTTACTTGGTTTGGAAGAGCAATTAACATGAAGGTGTTTCTGGGCCAAATATGTAGATAGTTGACTTCTATTGCAAACTATTAAATCATATTTAAGCATTAGATATTTACATATTTAATATCCAACAAGCTTGGAAGCAGTGCAGTCAGTGTCCTGATATCTAGTTGGGGAAACGTTTCACTCACGCACTCTACCACTACATTAGATATTCTATGCACACAGCGCTCAACTTTCAATGTTGATTTTTACAATCCTGAGAAGAGGATAAGGTTTAAAAATCTTTACACAAAAATAGTGACTACAACAGACATCTGGATTGGTACCTGGCCATCTTGGGTGGGTCGCAAGCGCAATTCTTTGTATCCATGAGGAATATAGGTTTGACTATAATCAAATCTGCAAATGGTGATAAATGAATTACTGTATTAACTTAGAACTTGATCAGCCTACTGTATGTATAATAGCTTACAACATGAACCTATAGTAAAAGAAACGAACCTTGGTTTTCTCATCATTTCTTTTCTGATAGTAGAATATGCTCCATCACAGCCGACAATCAAATCTGCATTGATTTCTACTTTGGTATCGTCCCTGCAAAAATAGTGATCAAATGGATACTTTCTCTGTTCTTACATCTATACAAAATTTGGAGTTCGAAAGCGTGGGTGGTGTGTGCTGCTAATGAGTGGCCTCTCGCCAATGCAACCTGGGTTAGAGTCCTGCTTTTCTCAGTGTCATATGTGAGTAGAGTTGTTTGTTGTTCGTTGCAACTTATAGTCACACCTGAGATGCTCTTTCTTACCAGCTGCATGTAACTCTGCCATTTTCCAGGTCTGTATGAACCAGCTTGTGTTCGAAATGATGATCAACATTGACATAAGTTTCTGCAACTGTAAAAAGTCTTAAGTCTTCTTGTTATACTGTATTTATGAGAAGAACTTTCAGTATAATTCATAGTTTTGATAACAAAAGTATTAATTGCCATTGCTTTTAAGGGTTTCAAAACATTCTGTACAGGTAGAAAGGCAAGGGGAAGAGCATAGGCAGAATATCTGTACCTTACTTATAATATTTAAATCATTGTCTGTCAAATTGTGAAGTTGGTCTACAGCACTTGGGTAATAGAAATAGTGAGGGGAAAAAGACTTATGGTGCGGAGGTGGAAGGGGGGGTGACACRTCCTTAAATATAATTTGTATTTCAATACCTGTTAATAAATGTTCATTCATCTTCCGTCTCTCAACAGATAGAATGCACTAAGAATTAATGCATAACTCCATTAGGCAGGGTATTCACTCTGAGTGATTTACGTATGGCTGTATGCTATTCAATATTAATGAACCATTAAAAAGCGAAGTATGACATTTTTGACACATTATTTTCTATATACAATGCTGCATGATTTAAGCCTTTACAAATAACTTTAAGAATTCATTACAGTGAATTAATTTGTATATATCACAGTTTATACATGCTTCCCCACTGACAGAGTCTCCTTTTCTTTTTCTTTAGTTTGATCGGCATTCGTGAAGAAAAGGAAACTCTGCCCCCAACCGTCACCTTTTCTGTTACACATGTGTGAGCAATAATAGGCAACTGATTTGACATTGGAAATATTAGTGGGCTCATTAATAGTCAGCAGTTATCCTAAAAGGACACACTCATACCTAGTCACTTCTCTTCTCTTATTGATCTCACACTTTGGTTGATGGGAAGGATTTAGTGAGTTTGCGGTGCATCAAGGGAAGAAAGGAAGAGAAGAGCAATAGTGACTGCATGGCAGATTACGTTTCCTCTCTCCTTCCTAAATGCCATCTCTTGCATCAAAAAAGTGTAAGTGACGACTCAGGGTTCGAGACTGGTAAGAGGATATGCTCTCTAGTAATGAGGTCTCAGAAATCTTACAGCAGACTTTTTGGTTGTCATGTGAAGAGGTGTTCAATTAAAAAATCCAGTTTCAAAACCGGTTTTTTCGTTCACAACCATGGACTAGTTACTGTAAATCAAATAATTTACAGATCCGTTCATAAGATTCTTTTTTTCTCCCTCCTCCCCC